ATTGCAATCTTTAACCTTTTTCCCCTTTTCAGTCAAAAGCCTACATTGCCACTGTTCGCCCGATTGTCAGTCGCAGGACCAAGATCAACATGGCTCGTTTTGGGGCACTTGTTCGCCAGGGCAAGAGCCTGCTGGGCATAATTGAACTGCTCAACACCAACTACAGCAACAACTTTTTGGACATCTTCCGACTTAGCTGAGTACAGCAGTCCTTCATTGTGTTCCCAAGTGTGTAGTTTCCTTTAATCACACTCTCACCTAATAAAAAGCAAGAATCATTTTAATTTTGCAAAAAATAATAACAGCGCATAATAATCGAATTGGAGCAGAAGGCGCTCGCAGCAGGAAAAACAGAGCTGAGCTGGCACAGTAAAAGTAAAAAATGAGTGCTCCTGCAGCCGCCCAAAAAAAGAAGTGGGCAAGGAAACACCCGAACACTGAAACTGTCTCAGCGGCGAGAGCCCGAGCTGGCGCCCGAGTTTTTGCGGCTTTTTCGGGTGTTCGCAGAGGTACTCTTCTTCATGCTGCTGCCGCCATGCTTGCCGCCCTTGCCGGAGGTGCCGCGGCGCATCGATTCGCCGCCCTTCTGGTGACTGCTGCCGCCCTTGTGGTGGTGGCCGCCCTTGTGGTGGCTGCCCTTGTGCTTGCCTTTCCAGTGGACCTTGCTGCTGACGTTCATCGGGCCCATGCTCAGCTTGCCCTTGCGGCGGTCCGCCTTGCTGTCGCCCTTGCCGCCGAACTTCTTCCAGTAGACGCAGCAGATGGTGACGCAGATGAGCAGAATGACGATGACGGCGATGAGGATGAGAATCCACAGCCAGTTCCAGAAGGAGCCGCTGTTGGGGGCGTCCGGCAGTGAGGTGCACTGCTCCATGGTGATGTTCACCGGCTTCCCGTCGTCGCCCTTGCAGTCCGGCTGACACACCTGCGAGGCGTGATTCGTGCCGGCGCACTCCTGTAGGTCGGGGTTTTTCTCGCACACCTTCTTGATGCACTGACAGGACTTGTAGCTGGTGCAGCACTTCAGCACGGCCGGGCTGCCCTTCTTCGCGCCAAAGAACTCCTCCCACTGCTCTCGGCACTTTGCCGGATTACTTTACGGTTGAGTAATTTTGGAGAAAAAAAATTAGACATGACAAACCCGTCCAGAACTCTGTAGGGCACTTACGGGGCTTCGCCAGGTGTAGGCTCTGTGCCCGGTTCATTGCCGGTCACTTCGGTGAATCCGGTCACCTTGCCCGGAGTGGCCGGGTCCTGAGCTTTAGCGACGGGCGACATCAGCAGGACAGTGGCGAAGATGATCAGGTAAAGAGCGCCCAGCAGCACTGCTGGGCGGGTGGTCAAAGGGACCGACATGGTTCGCTTGACACAGTGAGTCAAACAGTGCAATGGGCTTCAAAAGCGGGCACAAAACAGTCAGCGCAAAAAACAGTTAGCAAAAGTGGTGGTTCAAAGTTGCGATTCGAAAGACAAACGACACCGTAAGACAAGTATCACTTTAGTGGGGAAATCACTCCATTTTATGGCTGACGTGCTCCATTGCTGCTCAAAATGGAATTTTCAAAATGCCTTTCTCNAACAAGTATCATTTTAGTGGGGAAATCACTCTATTTTATGGCTGACCTGCTCTATTGCTGCTCAAAATGGAATTTTCAAAATGCCTTTCTCGTGCAACAATTGACTGACCCCACAAAAGTTTTAAAGTTATATATTTTGTAAATACAATTCCGTATANCGTGCAACAATCGACTGACCCCACAAAAGTTTTAAAGTTATATATTTTGTAAATACAATTCCGTATATCAAGTTCCTATGTAGAGTTTGGTGCATATGTACACAGTCGCTGTGAGACGTTTAGTTTGCTGATGAAACAAAAAAAAGAAGTGATGAGTGTGTTTGATAAAATTGTACAAAGATGGACAAAAAACAATAATTAGGCACGCGAAAAATTTGCAATATAGTGTGAAAGCCTAGAAAGCCAAAAAGAATTGGTGAGTGTGCTCAAAACGTTCAAAAATAAATTGCCTCAATAAGTTAGATCTTGAGATTCTCAAGTTGACTCAACACACACTCTGTTCACCGGTGTACAGACAGTTGTGATTGAAATGAGGGTGTGTGTGAACTTAACACTGTGTGCACTTCTAAAGAGGTTGTTGAGGTTGCTGAGTTGTTAAATGAACTTCGTGGAGGGAAAAATTGGGAGGATTGTTGTTGGTGACCACACTTTAGGTCAGTCTAGACCTTGGTGATGGCATTGGGAGGAAAAGCCGGATTGCGATTGCGAATGGGAAGTGGATGGGCCTCGGTGTTGAAGACCCAGGTGTCCAGTGAAACCAGGTCATCATTTGAGAAGATCAAGTACAGGTACTTCAGCGTCTCTGCCAGCCAGAAGCTCTGCTGAACGTCATCGAGGGTAGTCTCATTACTGTCGACATTGCTGATGCCCGAGTAGCCGGTGCCGCCGGGGACAAAGCAGTGCTTTTGGATAGCCTCCACAGCATCCCACGCCCACTGTCGGTACTTTGGATCTTTCGTCAGGCGCCACATGTAGAACCAGCCTTCAATAACTTCAGGGCGAAGGATGTAGTAGCGCTCGTTGCGTCTGGTGATGACAAAAAATCATCTGTTAAGCCATTCATTCAAAAAGGCCACTAAACACCACTTACCGTCCAATTTGAGCATCCAAATCCCCGGTGAACCAGAACACCTCCGGACCAATTTTGGTGGCCGTCCTCGCGTAGGACTCGTGACAGGTGTGCGCCAAATCGCCTCCCAGCTTCAGGTACTTTTCGGCTCTCTTCTCATCGTGGGCATTCGTCTTGGCGCCCAGACCGAACATGCCCGCTGAGAAGCAGGCCAAGTGTCCCATCTTGTGCTCCAGGCGGCCGTAGCGCATGTCCGCCAGATACACCAGTCCTGACTGTGACTTTTGCACCAGATGCTTATCAATGGCATCGATGGCTTCGTTGTACATTCGCAGGGCGACCACGTCGGTCTTATCGGAGAACAACCAAGTCTTGAGCAGGTACTCGTAGAAACTGTCGCCAAGGGCACCCACCGAGATGTGCTCTGGTAAAATAAAAAAGTAATTGGCAGTTAGAAGGTGTGCATTCTATCTTTGGAATTAATTGTGAGGGCAAACTAGCCGACCTTTATGATCAAGCTAGCCGTAGCCCTCTAGGGATAAATTAGAAAAGGAGCATTTTAGCATTAAAGGGTATAGATACTCCAGTGTGCCTGTAGTGGCAATCAATGTCTGCTAGAGAAACATACCTTTACACAGTTGACTAATTATCTAGATTAAATCTCTATCTCGTTTGCAATTATCCTTTTAAAAACGATTATCTACATGCTATCTGCTTGTCTTTGTGTATTCGCCTAGTCAAAATAAATCTGACTTGTTCTGATAAAAGTCATCAACATAAAGTCATCTCCCCCTAGTCACTGCCATCAGTAGTAAACTTACGTTGACCGAATTTTCCCGTCTTTGGATTGATGTAATTTGGGTAGAGGCCATCAAATGGTTTCTCGATCGAGTCGAGCAGCTCACGAATTCGTTCCACCTTTTCGAGGTACTTCTTATCACCGGTGACGGCTGTTAGGTAGGCAAACTCCAGGTACAGCGTGCCCACCTCAGCGAGAATGCTGTTGCTCTGTGAAGCCCAAGCGTAGTTTTTGCTTGCGCCAGACGCTGGCTTGATGAGAGAATGAGGCAGTCCAGTGGGTGTGTCGAAAGCGGGCAGCATTTTGTCGGCGATCTCCACTGAGCGACGCAGAAAAATCTCGTCTTTGGTAAAGGCATAACAGGTGAGAAGGCCCCCCACAAAGCGAATGATGGTCTCGAAAACGGACATCTCCGTTGTGATGTCATCCAGGGTGAGGTGCCCCTCAATCCAGTCACGGCCATCCTTGAAACGGTCTTTCAGGCCCATGATCCACAGCGTGTCCAAGCNTGCGCCAGACGCTGGCTTGATGAGAGAATGAGGCAGTCCAGTGGGTGTGTCAAAAGCGGGCAGCATTTTGTCGGCGATCTCCACTGAGCGACGCAGAAACATCTCGTCTTTGGTAAAGGCATAGCAGGTGAGAAGGCCCCCCACGAAGCGAATGATGGTCTCGAAAACGGACATCTCCGTTGTGATGTCATCCAGGGTGAGGTGCCCCTCAATCCAGTCACGGCCATCCTTGAAACGGTCTTTCAGGCCCATGATCCACAGCGTGTCCAAGCCGTCGACAATAGTTGCGCCTAAAGGTGGAAAGATAAAGTTAAATATCACTGTTCAATGTTCAATTCTCAAAGACACATACCTAATTTAGAAGTGCCAAAGATGCCAGCTGAATGGCCGCGTTTTGAGATGGGCTTCAGTTCATTGTCACCCCAAGCGTACTTTTTGTAGTTGTCCCATGAGATGATCATCATGTTTTTGACAAAATCTCTCTTCTTGCGCACCTCAGGGTCAGGGTCGTCGCCGTCAGGCAGCTGACTAACGTTCAAGCTTGGCATTGAAATCTNAACACATACCTAATTTAGAAGTGCCAAAGATGCCAGCTGAATGGCCGCGTTTTGAGATGGGCTTCAGTTCATTGTCACCCCAGGCGTACTTTTTGTAGTTGTCCCATGAGATGATCATCATGTTTTTGACAAAATCTCTCTTCTTGCGCACCTCAGGGTCAGGGTCGTCGCCGTCAGGCAGCTGACTAACGTTCAAGCTTGGCATTGAAATCTGTGCTGAGGCAGAACTGGACTCTGCCAGTTTGATGGGCGGAATTAAATTGGGTTTAGGTATCACAGCTTCTTGACTTAGGTTAAAATGTTCTTGTATCTTTGCCTTCAATCTAAGCTCGTCATCGTAGCGACCTCGTGGTCGTGGAAGGACCGCCTGGCTTTCACCATTTTCATTGTTTTGAAGATGATCAGACTCCAGCGGAGGCACTGGTAGGCCGAGCAGATTGGGCCCCAAAGAATCGGCCTGTGCCACAATGTACTTGCTGTACAGCTGACTGCCCTTCAGGTCGGGCAGGTAAATCATGCCGAGGAAGCAGAAAAACATGAAGGTAGCAATAACACCGAAGAGCATGTATTTTTCACGTGAGCGAAGCACCGACCGACTTGAAGGCGGCCCTAGGACGATGATGCCGCTGGAGTTGCGCTGATGAGTGGGAAGTAAACTTCGAGTAGACATGTTGGCAATGAATTGGTAACTGGTGAACTACAGCGTGGACGGTAATGTACGGAAGCCACAATCCAACTGGAGATTTACTAGAGTTGAGGCGGCGTTAGCTTTCAATTCGAAAATGGAATCATCATTTGAATGTTTGTGTACGTCTCGGTGGCGTTGTCTGTGACACTCTGGGAGCTGAACTGCTGAACCTCAGGATGATAAGCTGCTCACCACCACCAGAGAGGAGACTTCATTAGTTATGGAACCAGAAGAGAGGTTGACTAATAAAAAAAATTACACGTAATCAACAACAGCAGCACTACAGCCTGCTGCTACTGCTAGTGGTGGTTGTGATGCTAATGGATGGCTCCAGATTTGCCAAAGCGTACGTGTTGTTTTCTAGCAGACAGACATCGGTACGGCTAGACGATGATGATTCGGCTACTACGGTGACAGCGGTGGCACAGCCGTTGAACTGACAATAAAACCCCTGTCAGCGATCAAGTAGCGGCAGTAGGGAATCGTAAATGACAATGATCGTGCTTCTTTGGGGGCTGTTGGAGTGCACCAAAAGTTGTCATTCGTGTTGTCTAGTGATCAGCACATTTTGCAATTGCCACTGCCAAACCCTCTTCATTTACGCTTTGGTGGTTGCTCTTAGTGATGCGGTAAATTGGTGATGCGCAATTTCAATAACATCAGTTGCAGGGGAAAAAGTGCAAGAGGACAACAAACGGGCAAAGAATCACAGAATCACGGAATCATTCTTCAGCGGTGCATTGTGCAAGCTCAGGAATTGCAGAGTTAAAAATTGCAGGATTTTCAGGTGATGAGGATCGTTGATGCTTCGGTGCTCCACTTTATCTCGTCTTTATCTGTCTGTGGAATCGGCAATAAAGTATCTCTTTCTCTCCCTCTGAAACTTATTTAGGGCATCAAAACATTATGGAAACGAGTTTTCAGCATTCGGCTCGTCATTGGGCGACAGTACCCAATACACAGATTCTGTTACGGTAACGGAACCCCCATTCAAACTGATGGGTAGCGCGCAATGCTACGGTTGATTGGAACATTTCGATTGGAACATTCTAAATCTGGTGTAGCACATGTGGCTTAAAGTTGACGGGTAAGTGTAGCCTAGAATCATTTGCTGGCAACCATGTCACCTCCTTCGCATCCAAACTCATCACTGCTCGAAGCACAGCAAGTCAGTTTCTGTCGCGTTACTAGAGTGCTTTATGTGGTATTGCTCCTGCTAACTTTCGCCACAATTGTCACTCTGTGGATCGACAACTTTCTATCGTCCACAAAGCTGCTTTCACCTCAATTCAACTGTCTGCTACTCCTGCTGAACATCACCGAGCTGCTAACGATATGTTTTGCACTGAAGATAAGCAACACCATAGCAAGTGAATCAATCACCGAGGGCAATATGATGGTTCTTAATCACCTCAAACTGTCCAGTGCCTCATTTAGTGTCCACTTTACTGTGGATCTGTTCATGTTTTTCCAGATTACCATGAGACAGTTTTCTAATGGTAAGTAGTTTAGCATTTTTATCAATTTCTTTTTACAAAAATCAGTTTTTTGTTTTTCAGCAGAGTTCAGTCTGCATATCGTGTACAGTCTGCTGTACTTGGCGAGGTCTACTGGACAAGCAATCGTCCTTTGGAAGCTCAATCAGTTTCGCCAAGACACCGCCTGTAACTTGTTTTTGAGCAACTTTCATGTGCAGTAAGTAAGGGAAACTTCTATCAAATTAGCGAAGGCAAGGTGCGAGTTATTTTCAATTTAAGTAGAATAAATGCTTGTTGAGAATCAGGGTTGACTTGTGAGCACTCATTATAAGGAAGTTTCATGTGCGTCCATCTCGAAGGTATTCGAAGATAGATTCCAAAAGCAGTGCGAATTATTATCTGTGTAAAAAATATAGTTAGTAAAAAGCGGGTGTTAGGCAAGGGATTACCTTGTATTGTGTTCAGTGAAATAATTTGATCCATTGGAAAGTTTGTCTGAATGAGCTTCGTTTTCTCCGAGGACATGTTCGCCGAGTCAATGTCAAGGGAGAGCATCAACTTCTTGACAATGTCGCGACCGAGAATGTGATCGAGAATGATCTGCAGGTAGCGATCAGAGCTGATGGACAGCTTCAGCTTGTCACGGTTCCACACGAGCAGTTGCGACTCTTCCAGCGCCACAATGGACACCTGGTACTTGTCGCTGCTGTTCATGCCGAACCACTCGGGTGACTCGAGGAACTGATAGCAGTCGACGATGTGACGAGTGACGCCGCCTCGAACCACCGACACACGACCGCTTAGAAGGAGAGACAGACGATCGACCACGGTCTGGTCCTCCATCGCGTAGATGTCCTTCGGTTTGATGGTCTGAATGCCTCGAGTGTAGCTGTACAGACGCTGAAAGTCAACCCGCGAGACGCCCAGTGGACGAAAGAGATTGCGGNCGGTCTGGTCCTCCATCGCGTAGATGTCCTTCGGTTTGATGGTCTGAATGCCTCGAGTGTAGCTGTACAGACGCTGAAAGTCAACCCGCGAGACGCCCAGTGGACGAAAGAGATTGCGGTAGGCCATCTCGATTTCATGTGGAAACCTAAGTTGCAGAGCAGATTAGAAGTTAGAAAGTTGTTTTAGAAGAGGCACAAAAACCAAACCTGATGCAGGGATGAAGCTTGACAACTAGAATGACAATGTGACCCAGGTTGATGATTGCAAAGGCGCCCTGCCAGATAAGTAGATCGCCCGAACAGACGATCAGCCATGTCCAGAGAATCGTTAAAAGATTAGAGACCAGTAGCATTGACCGTAAAAAGATGAGCGAGTAGAGACTGGTGGAGGAGAAGAAAAGGCCAATGAAGAGGAAGAGGTTGGCTAGCTGAAGGAAGATGTGCTGAGGCATCCTCCACTCGAAGCAGGGCGTCAGGTTGGAGTTGAAGCCTCGGAAGAGGTGATCAAAGATCATGGCGCTGGTGTTCATGATGTGTGTGATGGAAGATAAAGAATGAGGAGGTAGAACTGTTGCTTGCTGCCCGTTTTCTCTTGAAGAAGAAGATGCCTGTTTGCGTCAAAGCCTAGTGATGCGGATTAAAGATGTTAGTACATTGTAAATAAAGATTAGCAAAAGAGTGATGGCGGTCAACGACAAACCTGGAGAGTGAAAAGCGATAAGCTGCATTTGCCGGTTTACCAGCACACGATGAGGTGTGCATTTAG